GCCACTGGCGCGCGGGCGTGTCAGGTTGCTGGGCCGACTTGCAGGGGAGCTCCGCTTAGAGACCTTGCCATTGTTATTATTATTATTATTATCATTATTTTTACTTATTTATGTCTGTATTTCTCATTTCTTATATATATATATATATATATTCATTTGTTTACACTTATTTTTATTTGTATTATCATTATCATTATTATGATTATTATTTTTATTATTATTATTATTTCTTTTTTATTTTCTATAAGTGTTGCTTCCGTTTTTTCTTTTCAGCAGCGGGCAGCGGGCCACTCGGTATGCCACTCGCGCGCGGGCGTGTCAGACTGCTGGGCCGACTTGCAGGTGAGCTCCGCTTGCGGACATCATTGCTTCTGCTTGCAAGGACAGTTTTGCCTTCGAGCTCCCGTTCATGAAAACTCAGGAGCTGGTCGCTGCGGCGCGCACACAGGGGGCACAGTCGAAACCAGTGGTAAGGACTGGTATCCTCAAAGAACCTACGTCGACGGAGCGCGAAACTGTTCCGGAGTGAGCCCGATAGTGTTTCTTACCTTCGGTCGACCTTCTGTCGCCCCTCTGGTATATACCCAACTATGGGTCATGTTTTTCTTAACTGTCACGCTTTGCTCTGCGACGAGAGCATGTTGAGTTATTGTGAAGGCTTACCATGGGTCGAGCCCAGAGGAGGCCTCCAGACAATCCGAAGAGAGCAAACGGACGCTCACATGTCCCGAAGACGGCACACAACAGCCTCAGGGCTACCTGAGTGGGCGTCTACCATCGCTCGAAGATGCCCCAAAAGGCCTCCCCAAGAAAGGCCCAATGGAACCCCAAGACGCCCCGCAAACGGCCAGAGAGGACGCAGACTCTCGAGACCGCCAGCAGGCTTCCCAGAAACCTCCCAGAGGCCCATTGAGGCCTCCAAAATGCCAAAAAGAGAGCCCCAGCCGGCCTCCAAGAGGCCTCGACATGCTTCTCCCGAGCGGCTCCGAGAGGCCCCCCCAAAGACCCCAACGAGCCTCTAATCCGTAACCATTTTGGCCCAAGCATCGTGGCCCGTTTTGGGCTGGCGATCTTTTGTGCATCCTGCGCTTGAAGCTCAACCGTGCTCAGTGACTTCACATAGTCTGTAGTTTGAAACGCGTAAGATGCTTCCCAATATATCAATGGACCCTGGGCGCCAGGGCAGTCCGTGTGAGTTGCATTGCAGAGTGCACGGGGTGGTCACCGCGTTGCTCCTGGCGGTGATGACATGTGAGGCGCGCTGTCATGAAACGCAGGGCTGTGCAAACAGTCCCGAAGATTGGACTGATAGTAGAGGATTTCCTTGCGACGACTACGAGGACTTGTACACGGGATCTGCCGATCGGGTAATGAACCGCTATGCCATCAACGGCTGTCAATCGGATTTGGGGAGCATGGGCCATTCGGCTGTGGAAGCTTGCTGTATTTGCGGTGGTGGACGTTCAATTCACGTCGCGGACTCCATGAGAAGCAATACCACCCCGACAATCGTTACCATAACTAGCACGAAGTGGTCAACCATCGCCACCAATTCTGAGAAGGGCAGGAGTCCCCTTGCCAGCACCACCGTGAACAGTACGATCTCTATGACCAGCACCTCCGTGACGAGTACAACCACTATGACGAGCAACACCGTGACAATTACTACCACTACGACCGGCACCACCGTGACCAGAACTACCACTATGACCAGCACCACCGTGACGAGTACTACCACTATGACGAGCACCACCGTGACCAGTATTACCACTATGACCAACACCACCGTGACGAGTACTACCACTATGACGAGCACCACCGTGACAAGTACTACCACTAGGACCAGCACCACCGTGACCAGTACTACCATTATGACCAGCACAACCGGGACGAGTACCACCGTCATCATGACCAGCACCACGACCTTGACCATTGCCACCATGACCAGCACGACTACCCTGACGAGCACCACTGCAACCAGCACCACTACCCTGACCACTGTCACAATGACTAGTACCGCTACCCTGACGATGACCACTGCAACCAGTATCACGTCCTTGACCACCGTCACCATGACCAGCAACACGACCTTGACCACAACCACCATGACCAGCACCATTACCCTGACGAGCACCACTGCAACCAGCACCACTACCCTGACCATCGTCACAATGACGAGCACCACTGCCAGTACGAGCACCACTGCAACCAGTGCTACGACCCTGACCATCGTCATCATGACCAGCACCATGACCAGCACCACGACCTTGACCACTGCCACCATGACCAGCACCACTACCCTGACGAGCACCACTGCAACCAGCATAACTACCCTGACCACTTTCACAATGACGAGCACCACTACTCTGACGATGACCACTGCAACCAGTACCACGCCCTTGACCACCGTCATCATGACCAGCACCATGACCAGCATCACGACCTTGACCACTGCCACTATGACCAGCACGACTACCCTGACGAGCACCACTGCAACCAGCACCACTACCCTCACCACTGTCACAACGACTCGCACCACTACCCTTACGAGCACCACTGCAACCAGTACCACGCCCTCGACCACCGTTATTACGACTCGCACCACGACCTTGACCACTGCCACCATGACCAGCACCGCTACCCTGACGAGCACCACTGCAACCAGTACCACTACCCTGACCACTGTCACAATGACTAGCACCGCTACCCTGACGAGCACCAGCCTGACCAGCACCAACCTGACCAGCACCAGCACCACTGCAACCAGCGCTACTACTCTGACCACTGCCACAATGACTAGCACCACTACCCTGACGATGACCACTGCAACCAGTACCACGTCCTTGACCACCGTCACCATGACCAGCACCATGACCACTCTGACCACCGTCACCATGACCAGCACCATGACCACCACCAGCACCACTACGTTTACCACAACCAGCACCTCCTCATTGATCAGCTTCACCGCGTCCAGCACCTCTTCCCAGACCAGTGGCACTCCAAGCAGCAGTATCACCTCGACCATGAGCAGCAGTACTACCCTGACCACCAGGACCAGCACCACCAGCGTGACTTCTGCCACAATGACGACCAGCACTTCGACTCGCAGTAGCAGAACCAGCACCACAACCGCGTCCACTGGCACCGTGACCACAAGCAGCATGACTTCCTCCACTACCGCGCACACCTCAACCTTCGCCACTACTTCCCGGACGAGTGCCATCACCGAGACCACAAGCAGCAGGACCAGCACCACGACTCCGCACACCTTCAGCTTGACCAGTACCAGCCTGACCAGCACCATCACCACTGCAACAAGCACCACTACCTTGACCACTGCCAGCATAACCAGCACCTCTACCCTGACGAGCACCACTGCAACCAGCACCACTACCCTGATCACTGTCACAATGACTAGCACCACTACCCTGACGATCACCACTGCAACCAGTACCACGCCCTCGACCACCGTTATCATGACCAGCACCATGACCAGCACCATTACCTTGACAACCGCCACAATGACCAGCACCACCAGCGTGACATCTGCCACAGTGACCACCATCACCGCGACTCGCAGCAGCAAAACCAGCACCCCAACCGCGTCCACTGGCACCGTGGCCACAAGCAGCATGACTTCTTCCACTACCGCGCACAGCACCACGACTGCGCACACCCTGACCAGCACCAGCCTGACCAGCACGAGCACCACTGCAACCAGCGCCACTACTCTGACCACTGTCACAATGACTAGCACCACTACCCTGACGATGACCACTGCAACCAGTACCACGCCCTTGACCACCGTCACCATGACCAGCACCATGACCACTCTGATCACCGTCACCATGACCAGCACCATGACCACCACCAGCACCACTACGTTTACCACAACCAGCGCCTCCTCATTGATCAGCTTCACCGCGTCCAGCACCTCTTCCCAGACCAGTGGCACTCCAAGCAGCAGCATCACCTCGACCATGAGCAGCAGTACTACCCTGACCACCAGGACCAGCACCACCAGCGTGACTTCTGCCACAATGACGACCAGCACTTCGACTCGCAGTAGCAGAACCAGCACCACAACCGCGTCCACTGGCACCGTGACCACAAGCAGCATGACTTCCTCCACTACCGCGCACAGCACCACGACTGCGCACACCTCCAGCTTGACCAGCACCAGCCTGACCAGCACGAGCACCACTGCAACCAGCGCCACTACCCTGACCACTGTCACAATGACTAGCACTACTACCCTGACGATGACCACTGCAACCAGTACCACGCCCTTGACCACCGTCACCATGACCAGCACCATGACCACTCTGATCACCGTCACCATGACCAGCACCATGACCGCCACCAGCACCACTACGTTTACCACAACCAGCACCTCCTCATTGATCAGCTTCACCGCGTCCAGCACCTCTTCCCAGACCAGTGGCACTCCAAGCAGCAGCATCACCTCGACCATGAGCAGCAGTACTACCCTGACCACCAGGACCAGCACCACCAGCGTGACTTCTGCCACAATGACGACCAGCACTTCGACTCGCAGTAGCAGAACCAGCACCACAACCGCGTCCACTGGCACCGTGACCACAAGCAGCATGACTTCCTCCACTACCGCGCACAGCACCACGACTGCGCACACCTCCAGCTTGACCAGCACCAGCCTGACCAGCACGAGCACCACTGCAACCAGCGCCACTACTCTGACCACTGTCACAATGACTAGCACCACTACCCTGACGATGACCATTGCAACCAGTACCACGCCCTTGACCACCGTCACCATGACCAGCACCATGACCACTCTGATCACCGTCACCATGACCAGCACCATGACCACCACCAGCACCACTACGTTTACCACAACCAGCACCTCCTCATTGATCAGCTTCACCGCGTCCAGCACCTCTTCCCAGACCAGTGGCACTCCAAGCAGCAGCATCACCTCGACCATGAGCAGCAGTACTACCCTGACCACCAGGACCAGCACCACCAGCGTGACTTCTGCCACAATGACGACCAGCACTTCGACTCGCAGTAGCAGAACCAGCACCACAACCGCGTCCACTGGCACCGTGACCACAAGCAGCATGACTTCCTCCACTACCGCGCACACCACCACCTTCGCCACTACTTCCCGGACGAGTGCCACCACCGTGACCACAAGCAGCAGGACCAGCACCACGACTCCGCACACCTCCAGCCTGTCCAGCACCAGTCTGACCAGCACCAGCCTGACCAGAACCAGCACCACTGTCAGCAGCACCTCTGCGTCCAGTACCAGCTCAACCCTGTCTACTACCACTACGCCGCTGTACGTTGTAAGCAGTTCCATAACATTTGCAAGCTCAGGCACGCAAGACAATGTAACAACTATCGTGTCTGCTCATCTCCTGGGTCTGTATGGCATAGAACCCGATCAACTCTCGACATCCGTAGAAGTCGTCTCTCCCATAAGCCGGTCGTCCAGCTCTTCGTATGTTGTCGATTTTGAGATTGTCGCCCCAATAAATGATGCCACACAAATCTTCGATATTACAAGCCAGGCTGCTAATGTTACGTCTAATTTCTCAGCTTTCCTGCAAGCGAGCTGGAGGCAACAGGAGTTGCAGTTACAGTGCCACAAATCAAGATTATTACTGCCACCCAGACAACAGTGAGCGTGACAGCGACCAGCACAACGGCGACCAATACCACCACTGGGACCACTGCCACCATGACCAGCACGGCTACCCATACCAGTGCCACCATGACCAGCAAGACCACTACCGGGTCCACTGCCACCATGACCAGTGCCACCATGACCAGCAGCACCTTCACCGGGTCCACTGTCACAATGACGATCACCACTGCAACCAGCACCATTACCCTGATCTTTGTCACAATGACTAGCACCACTACCCTGACGATCACCACTGCAACCAGTACCACACCCTCGACCATCATGACCAGCACCGCAACTGCCAGCATCACCTCGACCATTACCACGATCACCACCACCACCCTTTTCGGTGTAACCACCGGGTTGACGACACAGAAAGGCATCACCACGCTACTTTGGTCTGTGAGGGCCTCAATGGAGTTCGTTAGCTCTGGCACGCAAGAACAGGTGGAGAGTGCGGCGTCGGCTGCTTTGGCTGAACATTACGAGGTGCCCTTGAGTATTGTGACCGTGACGGCCAGGGAGCTCACAAGCTTGAATACGGCCAGGGAGCTCTCAAGCTTGAATTCTTGGACGGTCTATTATACGATAGTTGCAGATGAAGACACCATTGACAGAGTATTCGATTCTGCGACTGAGCTATTCGACGGAACCGACGATTCGCTCGCCGCTCTTCTGACGACCGCTTTGGCAACTGAGGGAATTGAGAACGACGGCCATGTTCAGGTAACCTACGGCCAGCCCGAAAAATTGGTTGTCCCAACCTCGACGTTGGATCTCGTGACGACAACGACGGGAGAAGCAAACGCCTACCTCGTGGTCGTCGTGGGCACCTTGGTTAGCGTGATCCTCGTCTTATGTGGTCTGGCCCTCTGCTTCATGAGGTATTCCAAGCTGCGCAAAAACCAGCAGCGGGCCCAGGAGGAACGGCACGACATAATCCTATCCATGGACGTTCCCGAGAGCAGCCTTTCGGAGGACGGCCCATTGGAGCGCGGCCTAGCTCGGGGCAACGACCATGGCGTGGACATGGGGCCGAGGCTCATCGGGCGGACGCCGCGGCGGTGTGGCCCGGTGCCGTCATCGGCCCGTTCACGCAGCCCGCGCTCTCCACTCTCCGTGTAGTCGGAAACTGGAACATGTACAGTACCAGTGGCGGGCTGTGTTTCAATCCAAGGACTTTTGTAGGGTCGGGGGCAAAGAGGTGCGGCTCCGCACCAGGATGCCGAGCATTGATTGACTTCTATGCTGGGCCCATCTCAAGTCCTCGGCCGGATGCTCCGTCGGTAGCAGCCGTACGTCATCGCGTTCTTCTCAACCCGGTGGCGAGACCATCCTTTGCCGTGGGTGGCACTGCTCCGGTCGGAGCTTCCAGATGACGTTGCGGCCGGGCTCGACGCTGCGGACAACAGGTCTCGCCTCGCCGCCCGCCGGGACGGCCGCTCCCACGACCTAGCCGCTGGCGCGGCACAGCGCGCTGACGGCAGGGTGGTTGGCAGATCATCTTGGCAACCGATCTGTATTTCTGCCATCCAGGCCGTTGTCCCGCAGTCTCCCCCCACACCTATTGTACAGGTGCGTGCTGTGCCGCAGCGAATGTATACATATAACG